CCCCCCCTCTGCTCCCCCCTTCTTCCCCCTCCCCTCGGCCAGCTACCTCGAGGGTGTCTACAACCCGATCAAGGTCCTCAACGTCCGGACCATGCTCTACTACCCGGACTCCAAGATGAACGCCGAGCAGAAGCGCGTCCCCCGGGCCCGTTTCAAGAAGGCCATCGTCCTCGTGGACAACCCCTTCCCCTTCCCTCTGGAGATGGCCAGCTACCAGAAGTCCATGCTCTCCGAGGAGATTGATCGGCTGTACCGGTCCCGCCTCAGCAACGATGGCTCGGAGAAGAAGTAAAATCCCCCTCCCTCCCTACCCCCTTGCACGCGACCCCCCGTCGCTCGGCTGCTTCCTTCACCCCTCCCTTCGCCATGCGCCACCACACGCACAGGCACACAGGCGCACGCGCACACGCACACAGTCCTTGCCGCCCCTCAGCCCCCCCCTCTCTCCCTCCCCCTCCCCGCGTGTCTGCGTGCGCATGTGCCCGGCCACACCCTTCACATAGACCGGTCGTTCTCCCCTCCCCCTCCCCCCTTCCCCCTCCCGCCTCCCCCTCCCTGTGGCGGCCTGTGTACACGCGCGCAAGCGCGCACACTCTTTTGTCCTCCTTGTGCTGGCACCGCTCTTCTCTCTCTCCCCCCCCCTCTCCCTCGGATCCCTATTCCCCCAATACCCAAAACCATCATTTTACCCGCCCCCCTCCCTCCTCTCCGTTATCCGAGTGTCAAGGTGTGTGTACATCTCACGTTGGGCGTTGCGACAAGGGGCGGAGGGAAAGGCCACACGACAGAGGTCCTCCATCCTCAGCACGGACTTGTTGCCGGCGCACGACAGCACAGGCGTCCAGCGATCGGGGTGGGTACCGACCAGGAGACGGGGGGCGGAGGGGAGGGGAACTCCCCGCAGGGTCTTCTCCCCACAGGGTCTTCTCCGGAGCCGGCGGCTTTCGGTCGCTTGGCCAGGCGGACTCTCATCCGCTCGGTCCTTTGCCCCCCCCCCCCCCCCCAGATGACGGTGATGGCGGGGAAGACAGGGCCAAGATCCAGTGGGGGGCTGTGTCGGGCCATTTCCCCGGCCCAGGACGCCATTCTCTCATCAGCCGATCGCCGTCCGGCCCACATGATGTGTACTTCGACATTCTCGAGGCACATGACCACGACCATCCCGATCACTGCGTCATTCGTCGGCACTTGCTGCGTCGCGCCGAATGGCCGGCCAACGCGTGTTGCCGCGCGATCATCGGCAAAGATCTGGCGGCCCTTTTTCTGGCAAGGGCGCCCCCCTCCCTGGCGGGGCCCCTTCTCCCGGACAGACCCCTTTCCCCTCTCTCTCTCTCTCTCCCTCTCCCCCATATCCCGGTTTTTTTCGTTGTCTCTCACTGGGTGCTTGCCTCGCTGGCTCTCCGGTTGTCGCCCCCCCCCGCCCCTTTCCTGCCCCCCCTCGCCTCTCGCGCCTTTGTCGGCTCTCCCCCTCCCGCTCCGCCCGCTTTACATCAACATGTCACAGCTCCTGGCCGGGCTGCGGTCAATGCGCTCCGCGTCGGCCGCGTCCCAGCCCCTGCGCATGCTCTACGACTTCAGCCGTTTCAATGGCCACCCGCAGGAGGATTATCGCCGGCATCCGGCCGGCCGGGTGAAGGATGACTTTTGGGCACCCCCGGCCGAGGAGCTGGACAGCCTGCTGTCCAAGGATGTGGGGCCTGTTTTGAGTGATCCCACGGCCCGGCCGTCTGGCCTGCTGTCCATCGTGTCGGCCGAGCGGCCGACCATCACCTGCCCCCACTACCAGGAGTCGGTTCGCCTGTCGAGCGAGATCCCGATGGCCAAGAAGCAGCAGGCCATCCCGGCGTCGGCTTTCTCCCTGACCTGCCCGGCGATCCTCGACTGGCAGGTGGGCGCCGACAGCGACTATGGCGGCTATTCGTATGCCCTGATGGAGCAGCACCAGCACTTCGGTATGGCATCCCGTGGCCTTCTGCCGGGCCTCCTTTCTTCCGCATGCCCGAACGTTTGCCCTTCTAACATGGCGCGCATGGGGGCATGTGCACAGCCCGCTTTCGAGGCTACGTCTCCTATCTGACCCCACGGGGGAAAGACCAGTCCGGCTATGCCTATGCCCGGTCGCTTGTGCGTCGCCTCTCCCCGCCTTCCTCCGCCGGCGGCCGGTCTATTTGTGCTTTCCCTCCTCCCCTCCCCCCCCCCCCCCCCCCCCCCCCCCCCCTCCCCCTCCGTCACGCCATATCTGCGTCTCATTTTGTCCTGCATGCCAAATTGACACCATTCACATAGGTTCGCAACAGTGGCCCGTTGCGTAATCGGGATACCTCGTTGGCCGGCTTCGACGCTGTGGACGTCTGCGTCCGCGGTGACGGGCGCATGTACAACCTTTCGCTGTCAGCCTCATCCGAGGGTGCCATCGGGGAGCTCTTCCAGAATGTCATCTACACCAGCGATCCCCATTCGGAGCTAGAGCGCCACCCGGCATCCAGTGACAGTGATAGTGATGACGATCCGCTTGGACCCTTCCGTGTGGTGTCGGTGCGTGACTTTCAAGTGGATTATTCTCTGCCCCTGTCGGCTGCTGACCCTTTTACTCTGTTTCCATGCTCCTCCCCCCCTCTCTCCCTCCCTTTCTCTCCCTCCCTTTCTCTCCACCTCTTTCTCCCCACCTCTTTCTCCCCACCTCTTTCTCCCCACCTCTTTCTCCCCACCTCTTTCTCTCC